TCCCAGTGGCTTTTAAACCCCAAAATACATTACGGCAAAGACTGGTTCATCCCAAAGATCCAGTTCCCCGGCACAAACAGAGTAATGTTGTGTTTGCTGTTCAGTGTCAGGAGGGCTGTGATCAGTCTTACATCGGGGAAACTAAACAGCCACTGGCCAAAAGGATGGACCAGCACAGAAGATCAACATCATCAGGCCAGGACACTGCGGTCTACACTCATCTCCAGGCCAGCGGTCACTCTTTCAGGGATGAAGATGTTCACATCCTGGACAGAGAGGAACGATGGTTTGAGAGAGGAGTAAAGGAGGCCATCTTTGTGAAAAGAAATCGTCCATCGGTAAACAGGGGTGGAGGCCTCCGGGTTCAATTGTCCCCCTCTTACAATGCTGTTATCGCTAGTATCACTCAACCCCCTGTGAATAGTAAACAGCCATCAGTGTGCTAATGATCCATTGTTAGGCTGATGATCCTCCTTGACCATGTGAGCAGCTGGTTTTGGTTGTCAGCAGCAAAACTGGTTGATCCACTCTGAGAAGGTGCTATTTAAGAAACTGAGCTGAATACAGCTCCTCAGACTGAGGAAGTCTCTCGGATGAGAGACGAAACGTTTCTACATTTTTTTGCTTTGTTTTGTTTTTTGTTTTTTTGAATGTCCAGAGGACCAGATTTAACTTTTCTGGATAGGGAGGAGAAAGTGAAGAAAATCTGGGGAGATGAGGCAGGGCTGGATACTGAGATGACATCTGAGCCTTTCTTAAGTTTGGAGGGCAGTGCAGTGACATGAGAGGAGGGGAACCAGCTCACTACAAAGAGAGGGAAACAAATTAAATGAAGTGAAGCAAGACAGACTCCAGTGACAACATGTCACTAAATCCTGAGAAGGTATGTGAAGTTTTGCTTTTCTTAGATTTTTTTTATACCAAAAACTTTAAATCTTTGTTTGCTTAAACAAGGGACAATCCTGATCTATTACGTTCTATTTCATGAGTTAGTGCACTTAAGCTTCTTAACTATCACAATTGATATTATAAATGCAAATAAAATTTCCCGCACACCTTTTTAGCAGCTTCAGCAAATCTGAGGACCTCAGCTCGTCCTTATCTCAGCAAGCATCCGTGTTTGACTGAACGCTGCTTCAGGCTTTGTGGCGTTTTAAAAGAATTGTTTTCTACACAATCTGACCCAACTTTCAACATCTTACAACAATGATTTGTCTTCTTTTCCTTCTTCTTAATGGAAATGCAACAATATATTTATGTTTTGATTCCTTTTTTAAAAAGGTGACTGTGCCTCGACCTGAGCTCTTTGATTTTCACGGTGTCTGGATGGCTCCTAATTTTACGGACAACTGGGAAAATGTTCAAAAATTTGAGGCCAGACCAGATGATATTCTCATTGCAACGTACCCCAAAGCAGGCCAGTCTGCAAACACCTTTATCCACATTTTATAAATGATAGAAATGTTTGTTGAGGTGAGGAGTTCATGTTTTCCTGTCTGCCATTCTTTAGGGACCACGTGGGTCTCATACATCTTGGACTTGCTGTATTTTGGTCAGACGAGTCCAGAGCGGCAGACGTCCATCCCCATCTACGAGAGAGTGCCCTTTATGGAACTTTTCATCCCGGGAAAGGTTTCAGGTTGATAATCACACTCAGGCTTTTCATCTTCATGAATTCTTTTTAGCTTCGAGTGGATTTAAAAGTTGCCACACCATTGTTCAAATTGGAGTGTTTTCTGATTTAAAAATGGAAACAAGATTAATCAACTATTTTCTAATTTGCTTTTAAAACTGCAACCTGTATAGATAAGAGCAAAACAAAAGCTCTCCAGTGTTCACCCTTAAAAGCCTTTTAGGGTAAAAGCCCTGCGTCCACAGCTGCCACCACATTTCATTGTGTTCACACTCACTCTCATCAGGCAATACTAGATATTTTTTTACATAGTTTTGGAATATTAGATTTTTTTTTTCCCAAACATTTTGCCTTTTACATGTGCTTTTATTGTCACAAATCTTTTTTTTTTTTTTACATTTACAATTTTTTTCTCAAAAAAAAAGAAAAAGAAAAACGTAAAATAGATTTCAATTTGCTGACTTGTAGCGCATATAGTGGATATATGCTCATTTTGTCGTTTTGAGCTTCCTGACAGACCAATCAACACTTTTTAATCTATCAGTTCTGTATATTTGATTTGTTAATTTCAATGTTGCAAAATCATTGATATTCTGCCAGTAGTCTTTGGTAGATATGGGTTTCATATTGCCCCCCTGCTAAAGGTGAGATGACATATTCTCTTTGCCTGCGTGTGTGTGTGTGTGTGTTGGGGGGGGAGGGTCTGTGTGTCTGTGATTTTATCAATATTTCACATGAACCACTGGCTGAATTTTAATGAAACTTGTAAAACTTAGTCAATGAAGGTAATGTGTATCTTTGACTAATTCGTTGTTTCTCCTTGTTTCACCTTCTTCTTTGGTTGAATTTTAACAAGTCTTTAGAACAAAATATTAAATTAACCATTTCCTTTTTAACCATAATTTATTCAATTTTGTGAGATCAAGTGTGAACTTCAGTCTATTATGCATTTGCAGCCCTAATTATTAAAAAAGTTGTATAAGTTGTAACTAAAAACTGAATACAATAATTCACAGATGTCAAACCTACCATTCTGTGTTAGTCTGTCTCTCCTTCCTGTCCTCTCAACCAGCCGGTCAAAGCAGATGGCCACTTGTCCTGAGTCTGGTTCTGCTGGAGGTTTCTTCCTTTAAAAGGGAGTTCTTCCTTTCCACTGTTACCACTGTGCTTGCTCAGGATGGGAGACTGCAACGAAGCCAAGATTCAACTTGTCTGCTGGATTCCTTAGATAGAGAACTTTACTAATTGGCTTTTATGTATTTGACTGTTCCTGTAAAGTCCCCTGAGACAACTTTGTTGTGATTTGGCGCTATATAAATAAACTGAATTAAATTGAATTGAAACCTATATTTTAGTCAGTGGAACATGGTAATATCATGAACTGACTAGTTTTAACCCCAGATTATACAAAATGACAGAGAGGACCCAACATTGGATGAAAAGGTAGGTACAGATTATTATGAAATGATGATATTTACACTGGGGAATTACAGTGCCTTGTGAAAGTATTCAGCTCCCTTGAACTTTTCAACCTTTTACCACATTTCAGGCTTCAAACATAAAGATATATATTTTTAATTTTTTTGTGAAGAATCAACAACAAGTGGGACACAATCGTGAAGTGGAAAGAAATTTATTGGATGTGTCAAACTTTTTTAACAAATAAAAAACTGAAAAGCGAGGCGTGCAATATTATTGGGCCCCCTTGTGTTAATACTTTGTAGCGCCGCCTTTTGCTGCAGTTCCAGCTGCAAGTCTCTTGGGGTTTGTCTCCATCAGTTTTACACATGGAGACACTGAAATTCTGCCCATTCTTCTTTGCAAAACAGCTCGAGCTCAGTGAGGTTGGATGGAGAGCGTTCACAGATTCTCGATTGGATTCCGGTCTGGACTTTGACTTGGCCATTCCAACACCTGGATACGTTTATTTGTGAACCATTCCATTGTAGATGTGTCTTTATGTTTTGGATCATTGTCTTGTTGGAAGATAAATCTCCGTCCCAGTCTCAGGTCTCTTGCAGACTCAAACAGGTTTTCTTCCAGAATGGTCCTGTATTTGGCCCCATCCATCTTCCCATCAATTCTGACCATCTTCCCTGTCCCTGCTGACAAAAAGAAGTCCCAAACCATGATACTGCCACCACCATGTTAGACAGTGGGGATGGTGTGTTCAGGGTGATGAGCTGTGTTGCTTTTATGCCAAACATATAGTTTTGCATTGTGGCCAAACAGTTCGATTTTGGTTTCATGTGACCAGAGCACCTTCTTCCACATGTTTGGTGTCTCCCAGGTGCTTGTGACAAACTTTAAACAACACTTTTTATGGATATCTTTGAGAAATGGTTTTCTTCTTGCCACTCTTCCATAAAGGCCAGATTTGTGCAGTGTACGACTGATTGTTGTCCTATGGACAGACTCTCCCACCTCAGCTGTAGATCTCTGCAGTTCATCCAGAGTGATCATGGGCCTCTTGGCTGCATCTCTGATCAGTCTTCTCCTTGTTCCAGATGAAAGTTTAGAGGGACGGCCGGGTCTTGGTAGATTTGCAGTGGTCTGATACTCCTTCCATTTCAATATGATTGCTTGCACAGTGCTCCTTGGGATGTTTAAAGCTTGGGAAATCTTTTTGTATCCAAATCCGGCTTTAAACTTCTCCAAAACAGTATCTCGGACCTGCCTGGTGTGTTCCTTGGTCTTCATTATGCTCTCTGCGCATTGAACAAAACCCTGAGACTACTTCTTCTTTGGTTTTTAACGGCAGCTTGCATCCATCAATGTTGCACTACTGACCCTGAGACTATCACAGAGCAGGTGCATTTATACGGAGACTTGATTACACACAGGTGGATTCTATTTATCATCATCAGTCATTTGGGACAACATTGGATCATTCATAGATCCTCACTGAACTTCTGGAGTGAGTTTGCTGCACTGAAAGTAAGGGGGCCCAATAATATTGCACGCCCCACTTTTCAGTTTTTTATTTGTAAAAAAGTTTGACACATCCAATAAATTTAATTCCACTTCACGATTGTGTCCCACTTGTTGTTGATTCTTCACAAAAAATAAAAATCTTATATCTTCATGTTTGAAGCCTGAAATGTGACAAAAGTTTGAAAAGTTCGGGGGGGGGGGGGGGGGAATACTTTCGCAAGGCACTGTATCTGCAAGGAAAGAGAGGTCAGGTAAGTATGGGGATCTGTAGAACAAGAGTCTTGAATAATTACTTTGGCCTGTTTGTCTTAGAGCGTGGAACAGCTTGGAGAGGAGTGTGGAGACTCCAGAGGAGTGGAGTACAGGTGAGTGATCTTAGGAGTGTAGCAGGGCGGAAACTAGTGTCGACAGGTGGGATTGAGCTCAGTCTGTTCTGAGGACTGAAGATCTAAGTGATTCCAGACATAATCAAGGAGACTCGAGGAGAGTGAATATTTGCAGGGGTGGAAAAACCAATGACGCAGGTCTTGACAAAAAACAAGGAAAAAAACAGGTTAGTATTCTCAAGGAATTAAATTACTTTGTAGTAGTGGTTGTCACAAAGTACCAAAGGGCTTCAATGATCCAGCGTCGAACTTCTTCATGTAGAGTTCTATTTCATCCCTCCTGACCGCCAGAGGGCGGTGCTGAAAGCACTGAATGTTCCCTTTGCGCATGTGCTGTTCGAGTAATAATACCAACGGAGTCACAGGTGTGACACAGATGACCAATCAGAGGCTATATAGCCTGACGTCATCCGCAGCTCTGCTCCTTTTTTCTTCTCAAGTGTGGTTCAATTCAGGGCTTCAGCCCTTTGGATTTTTGAACTTTTCACTGTCGTCGGAGGCCTGACTGCCCATTGGCGGGAGTAGCGTGTTCGCTCTCCTAGGGGCTGCGACATTTTAACCTTGTTCATAGGTATTTCTGCTGTTCGTTGGGGTTCTACGGCGGTTTCCGCCCCCTCCCAACTCACAGCGTCTGACTACTATGTGTGTGATTCAACACCGGTGAGAAGTGTTTTTCACTTATATTTCGCCATTGGCTAGCGGTAGCATTCGCTCAGCTCCTGTCTATTGGAGGCCTCTAACTGCGTGGTTGGTTGGACTGTGCTCCAAAGATTGTTAATGACTACTAGGTGTATGATTCAACACCAGTGAGTAGTGTTTTTTACTTATTTTTGCCATTGGCTTGTGGTAGTGCTCGCTCTGCTCCCGTTTGTTGTTATTGCTAGTATCACTCAAACCTGTGAGTAGTAAAAAGCCATCAGTGTGCTAATGATCCATTGTTAGGCTGATGGTCCTTCTTGAGCATGTGATCAGCTGGTTTTGGTTGCCAGCAGCAAACTGATTGATCCACTCTGAGAAGGTGCTATTGAAGAGACTGAGCTGAATACAGCACCTCAGACTGAGGAAGTCTTTCGGATGAAAGACGAAATGTATCTACATTTTTTTGCTTTGTTTTGTTTTTTAATTTTTTGAATGTCCAGAGGACCAGATTGAACTTTTTTGGATTTTTCTACCTGGATTATTGAGCATGCATCAGGATATTTAATCGTTACTTTTTTTTTATTTGTTTAAAACTGCGTAAATGATGTTAAAGTCTGTTTTCTTCGAGAGCTAAGTTCTTTCTTGTAATGGAAAACAGTGCAAAAGATAGCAAATGTAGTTTTAGCCATATATTTTTAAACTAAAGAATATGTTGTTAACTCTAAAGTTTCAGTCTTCTCACTTAAGAAATGAACATCACACTGTGCACATTGAACACACTTAAAATAAAAAAAATAAAAACCTTGTTGTCATTTGTTAGAGTCTAAAGATTGTTGGCTATGAACACTAGCTTGTCCACAGTCTCTGGATTTAACAGAGATCAGTGGCATGAAACAATGCTGCCACCAATGCTAAATGCCCTTTTTTGAAGGAGTACTCATGGCTGGAATGCAAAGTTATTTCTTGGCCAGCCTTGCCATTCTTGGAAAATTAGCCTGGTACAGTCTCCACCTGTCCAGTGGGTCAGTTTCTAACAGACGAAGGTTTGGCATCAAAAGCAAAAGAGGGGTTCCTCTAGTGGGTGTCTCCTTCTGCTTTAAGGAGAGCTGACACAAAATGGCGACCAGTTTCTTCTGTGGCTTTGACCAGAGAGGGTCTTGCAGTAAAATCATACAACACAGCGTTCTTTCCACAGATCAGAGAGCAGGTTTAACTGATTTTTTATTTTTTTTATTTTTATTTTTTAAGCACAAATGCACTCTCTAAAGCTGACCAAGGCTTACTTTAACTTTTGACTGAACACAACATTTTGTGCATGCATCCAAATATGGCAGCAGTATGGCAAGTCAGCCACAGTTAGCTTGTAGCTTTAGTCCTTAGCTCTTGAAGAAAACAAACTTTAACATGATTTACGCAGTTTTAAACAAAAAACAACAACAACAAAAAAAAAACTCGTAACGGTTAAATCTGACAACTCTGATTTTACATCAGACACAGCATTACTGCTGTTAGCTGGTAGAAGATAAATCTCTCATAGGCTAAATGTCTATCGTTTCTACCGTGTACCATATGTGTCGTGTATTCCTACTGCTAAGCTGAAAAAGGAGTCCTATAGGGCCTTGTTGGCCAGTGGGACTCTGGAGGCAGCAGAGGAGTACCGGAGGGCCAAGTGGTCCACAGCCGAGCTGTTGCTGAGGCAACAGCTCGGCTGTGGGAGGAGTTTGGTGAGGCCTTGGATAGAGACTCTCGGTCGACTCCGAGGAGATTCTGGCAAACAATCAGGTGGCTGAGGAGGGGAAAGCAGCACTTTACTAACACTGTAGCACTGGGGGAGTGGTTATCTTTTAAAAATGAATATGAACGTTATAATGGAGAATGTTAATTCTTTAGTCAATTTGCAATGAGTGAAAACCAACAACGCCACCTGGGATTACACTCCAGGAAATAAAAGGACACGTAAGTTTGTTCTACTGGAGGAAGGAGACAAGATTCAAATAAACTTTACCAAATTTATTGGGGGGGTAATTTGCACAAGTGAAAAGTATTCAAAAAGTATTTTTAAAATATGCAATACCAGAAAATTGTTGACTGCATTTAATTGTTTAAAACAGCTGTACTGGAGATAAACACTTTAAAATATCAGGTGAGACTGAGGCTTACTAGTGGGGAGGGGGGCTGTAAAGACAAGGAGACCACATCCAGTGAAGAAAGATGAATCACCTAAACTACAAAAGGGAAAAGGAGTGTTCCACACACAAAGCGAGACACCACCACCAGGGTCACCACCGCCACCACACGAAGTCTCAGTCCCTGAAAAAATTTTTTAAAAAAATGAACAAACAGCCTTAATGAAACAGTCGCGTCACATTTCATAAACAGATTTAGTGGTACACTCAGTTCATTAAAATCAAAGCCTCAGCCAGTAGGGCAAGGGTCCGAGTTAGTTTAATATTTTTTCCTCTAGGCAAAACAGCAGCGAGCAGAATCCAGCTGAACAGCAGGAGAAGGCTCATCTGAAAACTAAAGGGAGCAGATCGTCAGTATTAAACTCAACCATTGACAGCAGAATTTACAGAATCTCATATTGCCAACCTGCAAATTTGTATGTTACAGCACAATCTTATAATAGAGTTGCTGTATAAATTGGATCATGCAGCTGTAACAGAAAACTGTCTAATATGCATTTGTTTACAGTAACGAGTAAGCGGTAGCAGGCTAGGCTAACCCTTACCTTCAAGCCATAAATTGGGCACACAGAAGACGGACCGGCCAGGAGGCACAGCAGAGAAGAGGCTAGACTGAACGTTAAGAAAAACAAACCAGTTTGTATTAGCAGCTAAAAGCAAACGACCGCGACAAAGAAAAAACAAATATTAGCCACGGTTACCGGAGAATGGTTATCTGCAGCAGAAGCAAGCAGACGTCATGACACACGCCGTGCACCCAGACAGGAGTGACGTGCTTTTATACAGAAGCTGCAATTGACCATGTTAAAATGGCAGCACACCATTTATGCTGCTACAGCTGTGTTCAGTGAAGGTGGGATGCTGTTGAACTCAACCAGTGATGTCATCGGGAGGCGGAAGGAATACTTCTCAGAAATTCTCAATCCCACCAGCACGTCTTCCACAGAGAAAGCTGAGTCGTGGGACTTTGGGGCTGGTCCGTCCATAACCGTGGCTGAGGTCACCAAGGTAGTTAAAAAGTTCAGAGGTGGCAGGACTCCGGGAGTGGATGAGATTCACCCTGATTTCCTTAAGGCTCTGGATGTCGTGGGGCTGTCTTGGGTGACACGCCTTTGCAACATTGTATCGACATAGGGGACAGTGCCACTGGATTGGCAGACTGGGGTGGTGGTTCCCCTCTTCAAAAAGGGGGATCGGAGGGTGTGCTCCAATTACTGTATAGGGGCATCACTCTCCAAGTCTCACTGGTAAGGTCTTTTCAGGGGTACTGGAGAAGCGAGTCTGATTGTTGGTCAAACTGCAAATCCAGGAGGAACAATGTGGGTTCCATCCTGGCCGTGGAACACTGGATCAGCTCTTTACCCTCACTAGGGTACTCGCGGTGTCATGGGAGTTTACCCATCCAGTATACATGTGTTTTGTGGACTTGGAGAAGGCATTCAACCGTGTTCCTCGGGGTACACTGTTGGGGGTGCTCCGTGAGTATGTGATTGGGGGCCCGTTGTTACAGGCTGTTCAGTCCCTATACAAGTGGTGCAAGAGTTTTGTTCGCAGTAAGTCAAACCCCTTCAGGGAGGGAGTTGGACTCCACCAGGGCTGCCCATTGTCACAAATTCTGTTCATAACTTATGGACAGAATTTCTCAGTGCAGCCAGGGGGCAGAGGATTTACGGTTCAGTGGCCTCAGGATTCCATCTCTGTTTTTTGCAGATGATGTGGTCCTGTTGGCGTCATCGTGTCGTGATCTTCAGTTCTCACGAGTGTGAAGCGGCTGGGAGAATCAGCACCTCCAAATCTGAGGCCATGGTCCTCAACCGAAAAAGGGTAGATTTATCTCTTGAGGTCGAGGATAAGGTTATGCCTCAAGTGGAGGATTTCGAGTATCTCAGGGTTTTGTTCACGAGTGATGGAAGAATGGAGCGTGAGATTGACATACGTATTGGTGCAGCATCTGCAGTATTGCGGACTCTGTATCGGTCCGTTGTGGTGAAGAGGGAGCTGAGCTATAAGGCAAATATCTCTGTTTACCAGTCGGTCTACATTCCTACCCTCACCTATGGTCATGAGCTCTGGGTAATGACCAAAAGAATGAGGTTGTGGATACAGGCGGTTGAAACGAGTTTCCTCCACAGGGTAGTTGGACTCTCCCTTAGAGACAGGGTGAGAAGTTCAGTTATCTGGGGGAGACTCAGAGTAGAACTGCTGCTCCACCACATCGAGAGGAGTCAGTTGAGGTTGTTCAGGCATCTGATAAGGATGCTCCCTGGGCGCCTCCCAAGGGAGGTGCTTCAGGCATGTCCGACTTGGAGGAGACCCTGGGGAAGACCCAGGACACACTGGAAGGACTATGTCTCTCGGTTGGCCTGGGAATGTCTTGGAATCCTCCCAGAAGGGCTGGAAGAGGTGGCTGTGGAAAGAGATGTCTGGGCCTCCCTGTTCAAGCTGCTGCCACTGCGACCCAACTTCGGAATAAGCGGAAGATAATGGATGAATGGATAAATGTGGAATAAATTATTACACTTTTAAACGGGCCAGTAAAATCTTTGAGTTTTTTGCACGAGTCAGATCCTCAATGCCACTTGTCAATGAACCTAGTAGGCTCGTCAGCAACTCACCAATAAGTGAACACAAATTGTCTCGAAGTGAAATGCTGCTTACCTGCAGGAGATTCACCCCTTTTTCTCCGACAACATTGACAGGATTTTGCGTTACCTATGATTTGGGGTAAGAGGGATTTCATAAAAAAATCATCAGAAAAAAATGGTTAAACGTTGTCAGTGGAGAACATGTAATTCAGACGTGTTACCCTGAGCATTTTGAAGATGAAATACAGTTTATTCCATTTCCAAATTCTAAACGGAGCCTGGATCAATGTAAAAAATGAATAAAGGCCAATGACCGACCTCTTCATTCTGTTTTTGTTTATTTTAGGCAACTACTTCTGAACTGTATTAACATGCAGTATGTAGTTTAATGTTTTTGGGGCGGCTGTGGCTGAGTGGTTAGAGCAGTCGTCGTCCTCCAATGCGAGAGTTGGGGGTTCAAATCCACCAGCAGTCACATGCTGAAGTGTCCCTCGGCAAGACACTGAACCCCTCATAGGCTCTGATGTGTGTCCCATCAGTGTATGAATGTGATCTAACGCACTGATTAGTCACTTTAGAATGATTTGTTCAATTAGCTTTGTAGAGATCTAGTAGAGTGCTGTATGAATGGGTAAATGAGGAACAGATTGTGATGTAAAGTGGTTTGAGTGTCTTGAAATAAGATAGAAAGGCACTATATAAGTACAGTCCATTTACCATTTTAATATTTTGTTTAAAGTTTGATGAATTTGTACAGTACTTGTTTTCTGTTTTGTTATTAAGTAAGTTTTATACTTTGTTGTGTATATAATTATTGTCTCACACAGGAAAAGATCTTGCGGACAATCTCCCCACCACCCCTCGACTCATCAAAACACATTTTCCTGTCCAGTTTGTGCCAAAAACCTTTTGGGAACAAAACTGTCGGGTAAAGAGGTCTTTGTGCTTTTTTTTTGTTTTTTACTTTGAAAAGTTTAAATACTGGATTATACTGATATTCACAACATAGTGATGAGCACAAAACCTGATTTAGAATAATGCACAACACATATTTCTTTTGAGGGCTTAAAATATATGATACATTTATAAGGAATGTCTGTGTGTGGTTCTCATCTTTTGTAGATCATCTATGTGGCCCGCAACGGCAAAGACAACATGGTTTCCTACTTCCACTTTGATACCATGAACAGTACCCAACCAGAGGCTGGAACCTGGAACAACTACTTCCAGAGATTCATTCAGGGAAAGAGTATGTATGAAAAATTGCTGTAGAGTTTTTGTCACTATTGTGATTAACAACATAATATTATTTAGGAGATAAAAATGCCATATAATCATAATCAGGTAATGAATTTTGGCAAATATGTCTTTAATGAACAACACCTGACATGCTACTCTATGTCATATGTTTGTTCATATGTTTATTTTACAAAGACAAACCATCATTCTAGAATCAGCGAGTGAAACACAAGGGCATGCACTCTGTTTGTCAAATCAATTTTAACACCAATAAGTTAAAAACAAGTTTGTTCTTGAAGGTCTTACACAAACTGGTGGAAACATTTTGATGCATTTTGCTTTATAACTCTGGCATATCCGTCCTACAGACATTAACTGTTTTCCACGTACTGTTTTTCTTTTTTTTAATAATGGATTTTCAAATGTTCAAAAATGTCCTAAATCCTTCAGTTTGATGAGCAAAAACCATTGCTTTGCAATAAAAAAATTGTTGTCTAACCTACATTAAATCACACAAAAAAACCCTCCAGACCTGAAAACAACCAAAACATATTGTTAAGAAGTGCTCAAACCTGCTGAGGATCAGCTCATCATTTATGTTTTATTAGCTGCTACCTGCTCTATTAAAGCTACAGTCTGGTCATTTTTCAAGTGATGTTTTGTCAAACAGTTAGCAACTGTAATCATCAGCTACAAAGGTCGGAAGAAAGAGCACACTTTTCATTCAACCTTTATTTATTCAGGTGTTATGGGCCAGGCACATAGGCCTTATTGGTTTGTTCTTGTAGATAGGTTTTGAGTTAGTTAATCAGTCTTTGATTGTTTTGGAATGTGGCTTTTTCTACGTGCCCATAAATAAGCTGGTTTCAGGGAGTTCTGATGGCTCTCTTAGGCTCACTCTGTTTTTGGCCCTTCTGAGACACACTGGTTTGATTTTCTCCTTTGTCCTGGGGCTGTGGCATGCTGTCGGTGGCCCCAGCCACCTCAGGTCATTTTTGTTAACTTTTTGTATGTTTTTTGTAGCGTTTTGGCCTGGTGGGACTGGTAGCCATGTTTTTGTTCTCTCTTTTGTAATAGGTGTTTTTTTAGGGGTTTTGTAGGTTTAGTCTGGTATCAGCAGCAGCTTTGACGGCCCTGTATAAGGTTGGCCTGCTGCTGTACCTTTTTGTTTGATTTGGCCAGCTCACCAGGTCCTCCTTTAAGTTGGTACTTTGGGTTTTTGTGTTTCTTGGTTGGACACGGGAATTGGGGGTTCCTGTTTTTTCCCCTATTTTTCAGGAAGCTGCAACAGTTTTGAATAAATTGATTGTTTGAACCTCTATTTGTGTCTCGTGTCCTCCTTTAATGTGTTATGTTCTTGGTGGACGTAACATGTTAATGGGGGCTCGTCCAGGATTTGAACCCGGATACTACTACTACAGGAGCAAAACATGTTGATTACATTTAGCTACTGGTACTTCATTTATCCAAATTCCAGGCTTACAGTGGGATCTTTCTCTCAAAAACAAAACAAAAAAATAATAATGTAAGAGAGTAACAGACTCTGACCCCATTTAATCAAGATCCACTATTGATCAAAATACGACAAGTAATTTTTCCTATGATTGCTCCGGTCTCACCTGGGAGGCTGGAAATACGCGCTCACCTAGACTTTGACACAGAGAACATGAGTGATCCATGAAACTTTCCCTGGACGACATAGGATTTTCCTGTACTCTGACCTTATGTTATAGAGGTTAGATATCAGGTCTCAATAAATTAGCCAGAGGAATATGCAAAAAACACTCCCTTAAATCAAATCTTGTCTTTTTGCATATTAAGAAAATAAGGTCCTGGCCATCTTCCATATTCTCCCTATGGGGGCTTATTTGAGCAATGGATGGGTGTGTGTGTGTGTGGGTGGGGGGTGGGGTGGGGGGGGGGGTGTCACATCCCCACTAGTGGACCCTCTGCACAGAACTGTTCATAAGACCCAGTTGGTACATAACCTAAGGGAAAAAACAGTTAAATAGGACTCACCAGTACTTAAGAATCACCAGACAACTGTTATTATTTTAGTGCAGGCAGACACGAGTTTATTAAAATGGAACGGTACAAATAAAGGAATTTAAAAAAAATCACATATCTGTTGATTATATCAAAATTTAAAGGTAAAAAGGGAAAGTAAGTAACAGTCTATCTCTTGTGCTTACAAGACTACCACAAAAAGGTTTCTAAAAATTAAAAAAAAAGAAACTTACCAAGGTAAATGCTAGTCCTCTATTCCCTCCCGGCACCCCTGGGTCAAAAGGACCCAAGGGCAACATGAGGTAATCCACTGTCCAAGCCTAAAAGCAATAAGCTCCACGAACCACAAAACGTCCCCAGTAAAAAACGTCCAGCTCTGATGTGCATAAACTTTTTATAATCTACTGTCATAATTATGCATACACAGATAAAGCATACATACTCCTCCTACTTCATGTCTCAAATAGAGGACCAGTTAGAATTACACCATGTCCTATGATTATGCATAAAGGATAGTGTTACAGACACCTCCTTTCTCTGGTCCTGAAAAATGGAAAAGTTACACTTTAAACACACACAAGCACCTAAATGGCCAGAAAAGCCACCCTCCAATGACCTCTAAAAAGCCCATGGGCCTGTCATGATCTGGTGGTAAGTTGAACCCAAGTGCAGACGTTCGGGGAACTCAACATTTATTTCTAAAGCACTTAAAATACAACAAGCAGCCGTCCGAAATGCTCTACAAAATTAAAAACAAACAAAAAACAGTAAAACAATAAAAACACCTAAATATATATGTATAAAAAAATCAGAACATCATAAGTAAAAGAATACAACATTAAGACACAGATGCTAACTCACTCTAGGTTAAAAGCCGATGAAAAAAAAAGAGTTTTAAAAACAGAAAGTGATATATATTAATATTATAAATATATTTAATAAATATATTTATTATAACAAAGCAAAAGGCTGACATGGCAGCAAACTTACATGAATGGAGGGAAAGTGGACAAGGAGACACGGAGGATGACACAACATGATGCCTTACAGGACAATTCACGGACAGGGGAACAATAAAGAACCAGAGACTATATAGAGACATTAATGAGGGGATAAACACAAATGCCTGGGGAAGGACAACAGGTGGCAGGTGTCAGAGGCAGGAACTGATTACAAGGGGGAAAAACACAGAGGAGGGCAGGACAGATGACACAAGTCACAAAACACACACAGATCCTCAAAATCCCCCCCCCCCCCCCCCCACACACACAGATGGCCCTTGACGTCCCAAGACTCAGGTGGGAGGAGGGGTGAACCGAAAGGATGGATGGCACAAAGGAGAACATGAGGGAAATAAACAAAAAACAGAAAAGTGACAGGATGAAAAAAGCTGGGAACTAAATGCAAAGAAGAGCTCAAGAAAAAAAAACACCAGGGGTTCAGGCCAATGGCCAGAAAATCATCCAGCATGGCGCAAAAAGTTCAGGCAAACGGCTGGGAGATTGTTCAGCGTAGGACAAAATTTCAGGTGGGCAGCCAGGAGACTGTCCCACATGCGACATGAGTTCAGGTGGTCAGCCAGGAGACCGTCCATCACTGGGCAGGAGCTGCGTCTGCCCAGACCCTCTCCAACTCAAGTCAAAGGGAAGCAAAGTGACCACTGTAGATGCTGTGGCAGCAGACGAAGATATCACCGGTGGGGCTTTGATGGTAGGTGAAGAGACCAGGGATGAGGCTTTGGCAGCAGGCGAACAGACCACTGGAGAAGCTTCAGTGGTAGGTGAAGAGACCATTGGAGAGGCTTTGGTGATAGGTTGTTGCTGCCAGCAAAAAGGCCACTGTAGAGACCATTGCTGCCGGCGAACCAGTGAAGAGAACCGCAGACAGCAAACCAGGACGGAGAGCCACAGACGGTGAACCAGGAAGGAGAACTGCAGATGGCGAACCAGGAAGGACAGCCACAGGTGGCAAACCTGGGATGAGGACCACAGGTGGCAATGAATCCAATGAGAGATCTGCAGCTGGTGAATCAGACAAGGGAACTGCGTCTGATACTGGAACCAGAATAGCTGCAGGTGGAACCAGCAGCTCTACAGCAGGTGAAGAGATCAGGGGATCTGTAGCAGGTGAAGAGACCAGGAGATCTGCAGCAGGCAAGGAGACCAGGGGATCTGCAGCAGGCGTAGAGATGACAGGGACTGGAGGGACTGCAGCAGATGACAAGGAACCAGAGGTGGAGGCTGTAGTAGATGGTGAATCAAATGGGAAGTCTGCAGCTAGTGATGGAACCAGCAGATCTGAAGCATGCAATGGAACAAGCAGATCTTGAGTGTGGTCTGGGTACAATGAAACATCATCATCATCAGCAGCAGCAGCAGCAGCAGCAGCAGCAGCTTTATTTATAAAGGTCTTTAACACACCCACAGCTGAAACAAAGTGCTGAATATCAGTTAAAAACAAGATAAAAGAGAGCATTAAACAAAGCTACAAAGCCAAGCACACAGTGAACTAAAAACTCAATTTAAAACTCAATTTAAAACACAATAAAACGACGAGTTAAACAGATAAAGCCAATACCAGTAAAAATAACGTAAAATCAAGTCTCAGTTGGGTTGAAGGCCAAGTAGTAGAGATGAGTTTTCAGACGGGTTTTAAAAATGGACATTGAGGGGGCCTGTCAAATGTGCAAAGGCAGAGCATTCCATAACTTAGGGGCACTAACAGAGAAGGCACTGTATGAAGCATCTGAAGCGAAACCTGCTCCTATTTGTCAAAAAGTCTGGTCTCAATTAAAGATCACGAGTCCTGTGATGAGATAACGGCCCAAAACAAATGCAAAAAACAAAATGTTCTCTTTAGAAGTTCTTCTATGAGATCTGATCTATGAAAGGAGCTGAAACATGGAGTAGGATTGACCCTTAAAATGTGAGACAGCTGAGGAAGTTAACCAGTAAACAGAAATACCTGCTCCAGCTGCAGAAATCTGACAGAAACTGACAATCACTCATCTGCAGTGACTGATTTAAAAGGTTGAACAAGAAAATGGGAAGTTAAAGGAAACATCCTTTGACCCAAGGCCAGTTTAAGTATCATTAATATTTTTCTTTCTTTATGAATCAATTGTAACTATTTTCACATTATTCAACAACCAAAACTGATTTTGTTTTTTAATGTAATGGCTAGGTATTCAAAAAAACACAAAACATTTAACCCTCCCCACTACCCATTTATGTTGCTCTTATTTTGAAATGTAACCGGATGTTCTGTGTTAAGAGAGGTGGAAAGAGAAGTTATGGAGACGCCACTAATGTCGAACCGGTTAACACCATGAACATAATATGTCTGTGGTTAACACAAATGGCTTGTTTTTATTTGTTCAGCCTTTTTTCTCGTCTAATCAGATGTGTCCCTCCAGATACGCCCATTTTTTTATAGTCCAATCAAATGTGGCCCTCCAGATACACCCATTGTTTTATCGTCCAATCAGTTGTGGCCTTCCAGATACACCCATTGTTTTATCGTCCAATCAGTTGTGGCCTTCCAGATACACCCATTGTTTTATCGTCCAATCAGATGTGGCCTTCCAGATACGCCTTCCGAATTTGTAAGCAGAGATACCTACTTGGGCTAATGGCTAGATAAATGAGGGCCTGTTTAAATCTAATTTTGATGACCACCTGATGAAAAGCTTTTGAAATTATTTATTGTGTATTTTACATCTGATTTCTGTCACATGGATTTAACACTCCTTGTTTCATTCTGTGGCTCAGTGATGTACGGCTCCTGGTACGACCATGTGAGGAGTTGGTGGAAGAAGAAAGAGACCTATCCAAACCTTCATTATATGTTCTACGAAGATTTGATTGAGGTAATTGGTTGTTTTATTTCCAAGGTCTGGTTGGTTACACATTAAAAATATATATTTTTCACGTGTTTCCAGGACACTCAACAAGAAATAGACAAACTCTGCTCATTTCTTGGCTTGTCTCCTTCAGCTGAGATCACAGAAATGGTTGTGAGTGGAGTGCAGTTTGATAAAATGAAAAATAATCAGATGGCAAATTATTCCAATGTCCCATTCATGGATTTCAACATCTCCCACTTCATGAGGAAAGGTTTGTTAAATGCTGATATGAGGCCAAAGAAGAAATTGATAGCAGAAATGCTGAACAGGATGTCTGTGTTTCTGCAGGAAAAGTTGGTGACTGGAAGAATCACTTCACTGTAGCTCAAAATGAAGAATTTGATGATGACTACAAGAAAAAGATGAAGGATTCCACTCTGCAGTTCCGCAATGAAATTTAATGTGTTTATGTTTGAAGCTGAGTCCAACATTGACCTAATGGGATGTTCACTGACTGAAAATAAAGTGCTGTAATCTCAATGGTTGCTAAATCAATGGCAACACAATTAATTTTCATTTTACTTTTGTCAAATGAAAGTGAAAACTGACATGTTGATAGGCGACACACCATTTGCAGTGGGATCAGTCGATCACCCCACTCAGATCCAGGGGCTAAACCTGGTCAACTACATCAATGACGCAAACAAAATAAAGTTGTTTTACTGTTGAGATCTAAATGAGGTGAATAAAGTAAGTGAAGCTGCAGGCTTTGTGTTAAACAGTAGGTGATTTTTGGTATTTTGCACATTTAGGGTTTTGGCTGGTAATGATGTAATAAACTCATATTGTCCCTGATTTAAGGTGACACGTCTTCCAACAGGCAAACGTCATTTAAGAGGGGGCTTCTCTCCTCCCATCACTACTACAAGAATCACTGTCTGACATGAGTCAAAAGGAATGGACACCATCATTTAAGCATGCTAATTTAATATGTTACGCATTAACACTTGTCATGTTTAAACATTTGTCACAACATGACAATGTGTGTGCTTGAAATCAATTTTTACATCCAATATTTAGTGATATAATTAGCAAAAAACACAAGACAATGCTGTACTCACAGCAAGCTGTATTTTAGAACCTAAAATATTTAGTATTTGCAATAAAATATTTTTTTTCATCCATCCATCCATCCATCCATCTTTCGCTTGTTCCAAAGTTGGGTTGCGAGGTCAGCAGTTTGAGCAGGAAGGCTCAGACATCCCTTTCCACAGCCACCTCTTCCAACATGTCTGGGAGGATTCTAAGGCATTGCCGGGCCACACGAGAAACACAGTCTCTCCAGCATATCAAGGTCAAGGTGTCTTTATTGTCATTCACATCACATGTGGTACATGAGGTGGAACCAAACTATGAGCAACTATGAGCAATGGTGCTGTCTTGCCTAAAGGAACGCAGTCCTCAAGAAAGATTCCTTCTTGGGACAGCAGGCCACCGGCTTTCTTCAGCTCACCCTCATGCATTGTGGTAATGAGAGATGGACAACTTCCCAGTAGGCCAAACGTCTTCCTTCTGATGAAAAAAACAACTAAGTGCCAGCTGAGTTTAAACATAATTTAATTTCACAAATCTGAGATAAAGTTTACCTAAATTCTAACGTTAGAGCTAAAACCTTAGTCCAAATTGAATACCTCTTCTCAAAGACTTTACATTTTTACATCATTCACTTTTTTAAATAACACTAATTGGCCATTCATCCATACTTCATATTTGCCATAATTTCATATTGTCATTATTCACACTGAAAATAAACATTATAGAATTGTGTATTTAAATTACCAGATTCTTTGTCTTTTCTTCGAGTGAGGGAGATTACAATTGTTACAAGGACTCACATTATGCTTTTGATTGAGTTGATCAACATTTATTACGTAACTCTGAACCTTAGTGTAAACACCTGTTAAAAGATGCTCAGACCTCTCAAGGGTTTCCCCTACATATTATTTAATTGGCATATTATATTATTGTTGGATGGCTACATTGTATTACATATTATTTAATTATTTAATCTCAGAAGACCGCCTGTCAGCCAGAATCCTGGGTCTTCCCCGAGGTATATTCCTACTCAGACATGCCTGAAGCACCTCCGTAGGGAGGCAACCAGGAAGCATCCTTACCAGATTCTTCCCTTTTAAATACCCCCAGTATACTCCCACGTATGCGCATACGTACGCGGAAGTACGAGCGTATCCCCACAGGGCATGTCCGCACAAAGCTTAATTTTTATGACCGTGTACATGGTGTCGCACAATAAACTGCCCGGCGACGGACTGTTTTGTATGCGACACCAATGTATTAAATTCCCCTTCTTCATCTCTGATCTGGTCTTTTCTTTTGTTTTTTTATGCCAAGAGGCAGTGATCTCTTCCTCCTCTGTTGATGCCATGACTGAAATGGTGAGAAATGAAGGAATTTGTCACAAGCGAATTAAAATCATGTCCAGCATGGCTGCAGGAGGGTCTGGAAATTTCCTGGTGGGCTGATCTGATATGTGGGCTGCAGAACCAGCGCTCCCTATTTTTTTTTTTTAAGATCTTTTCATTAACAACATATAAACACAGAACACTGCTGCGACTGAGGCTGCCAGCGCTTTTATTTATTTTTTTTCCCCGACCTGTCAATTAATCCAGTAGGCGTTTCAGCAAATGACCACTCGGTGACCTCAATTTGTCCCGAAGGTAAACGCCCCTTGTCTGTGGAGCTGCTCTGCAGCTGCTCAGGGTGGGCGCTCGAGTATGAAGTCTGAACCCTCTGTGTACAGTACGCGCATATGTACGCGTGGACGTACGTACGCGGGAGTATACTGGGGGCTTAACAGGAAGAAACCTCAAGCAGAACCAGGATCAGGTTTGAGAGGACAGGAAGGAGAAACAAACAAACACAGAATGGCAGGTCCAGGTGTACCCCCTATTGAAAGAAAGACAAAAATCACATGTTAAGGATAGAAATATAGTAATTACAAATGCAAAACAGGTAAAGAGTAAGTAAAGACAGCAGCAGAATGAGAAAATGTGGTAAATTTGTCCTCCAGCAGTCTAAGCCTACAGCAGCATAAGTAATGTTATGTTAGGTGAGGGTAAGAATGTAGACCGACTGGTAAATAGAGTGCTTCACCTTATAGCTCGGCTTGCTTTTTATCACAACTGTAGAGGAAAGCATCCTCAGATCGTTGAATTTTTATTAGTAATTTTATTCTGAAGGGGTACCACTTGCTTTCCGGTTCTTAAGCAAGAAAATTATTAAATCAGACTCAAGTTTTATGTTCTAGTGAATTATTTTCTCGTGTTTAAAAGGGCATCAAATTAGTTAATACACACAGATATGCCAAAAATAATCACAAATTTAGTTGATTTTATGTATTTTATTACAAAAATAATAATCTGTGATATATCTGATGAAGGGCAGCACGGTGGCGCAACTGGTAGAGCTGCTGCCTCTCAGTGAGCAGGTCCTTGGTTCAAACCCCAGTCCAGGGGCCTTTCTGGGTGGAGTTTGCATGTTCTCTCCGTGCATGCGTGCGTTTCCTCCCACAGACCAAAAACATGCATGTTAGGCTGATTGGTAACTCTAAATTGTCCCTAGGTGTGAGTGAGAGCGTGAATGGTTGTTTGTCTCGTTTGTCTCTATGTGGCCCTGTGATGGAATTGCAACCCGTCCAGGGTGTACCCCGCCCTTCACACAGTGATTGCTGGACATGGGCACCGGCGACCCCCGTGACCCAAAAATGGAATAAGCGAGTAAAGATAATGGATGGATGGATATCTGATGAAGATTATGCATAAAATGAATACACAAATGAATAACAAATAGCTTTGTATCAAAGGTCTACTTGATTATTCAAATCAGTGAAACTTTAAAAAGGCAGAATTTTTGGACTGTTCTGTTTGTGGAGTAGTTGAAATTGTGTCTAAATTAACTGTAGTGTGTGTATAAAGCAATATTATTGTGATGTATGATCACCAGAAAGGCATTAAAGGTCTCTTGTCCTACCAGAATGAGATGGTCAGAATGGTCCAACAGCTGCTTAAAAATGGTACCAGTTCAGATGTTCTGGTGACTGAGAGGCTGATTTTTCCTCAAAATTCACCTGTCATCTTAGAGGGACAAGGGTCCATATGGGAGTCAGCTGGGATTTTTCCACTCTGTGGTGCAATAGCTCTGGTAACAAATTTCAGGTTAATGCCAGGTTCTGCTTCTGGTTCTGCCGGGTTTCCAGAAAAGGTTGCTTCTCTCGTCTCTTTTTTCCTAGGACATCTCACTAGGAGGAAGTTTTTTCTCTGAAGTTTGCTCGAAGTTCAATGCTTGAAGAAGATGTGATGAAGTAGAGTGGAAGCATAAGTGAAGAAGTGAAACTTAACTTAACTGTCTGTGTGTTACAGATTGACTTTGGTCCACCTCTCGGAAGAGGGATGGTTCTAACTCTTTCATGTTTTATAACATCTTAAGTCCATTTTCTCTGTTTGCCTTTAAAAAGCAACTCTTCTTTTAAAAAGAGGAAAACAATACAATCTATTATCTTAAAGAGAGATTACTTAAACAGACATTTTCATAAACAAACATTCAGTTCTGAAGCTTTTGAAATAGCATGCAATGTTCATCCAAAAGGTGTCACTGTTCATCTCTTGAAAAGAAAATGTCATTATAAACAAAGGTTTCTTTAAAATGTTATCTCCATGGGAAACCATCCTGGGAGTAATACTCTTCTTTGATAAAGGAAGATATCAAAGTAGCGAGTTCAGATGTTCCTAAGCTTCGAGGTCAGTTGAACCAAAAGCTCTCATTAAAACGATCTGTCCTTTTCTGGGGAAATGAGTTCATATTGAAAGTGGTTAACACAGTAACAGTTTTTTTTTTTTTTATACATTCCGTTAGTGCTGGGTTGAACACCTGTAAAGCAAAGTCTGTTTGTTCCCAAGGGAATAGATGGATCTTATTTTAAACAGTTCAAAACACAAAACACATGAATGATGTTTGTTTGAGATGAGGTGAACTGTTTCTGTTTAAGCTGAGGTGAACTGTTTCTGAGGTGGTGTTCCCCTACACAACGGAGCAGCACAGAGTCCACAATACTGCAGATGCTGCACAATCCATCTGTCAGTCTTATGCTCCATTCTTCCCTCACTCATAAACAAAACCCCAAGGTACTTGAACTCTTTCACTTGAGGCAGAACATCACCCTCAACCTGAAGGGAGCAATGCACCCTTTTCCGACTGAGGTCCATGGCCTCAAATTTGGAGGTGCTGATTCTCATCTCGTCTGCTTCACACTTGGCTGCAAACTAGCAGAGAGGGACTCCTGAGGCCACTGAGCTGGACTTCCTCCGTCCCCTGGATGCATCGAGAAATTCTGTCCATAAAAGTTATGAACAGAATCGTGACAATGGACAGCCCTGAAGGGGTC